ACCACCACCACACATCGATCACCGTTCTTCTTTCTTCTCACGTGGAAAAGAAGACCAGAACGCCTCCTGGCACGATGCGGCAAAGGTTCGCCAACGTCGCCCCCAACTCGTCCTTGTAGTTGTCGTTGTCCCTGTTGGCGTAGGAGCTGTTCAGGGTCACGCTAGTCGGGCCTCTGCCTAGGGTTCCGATCCACGCCTGTAGCGGAAGTGGAGAAAGTGAGGGGGGTCCGCATAGTTGGTGTGGGGCACGGGCCGATGTGCACGCGATCAGGCCAAAGGCATGATTGTCCAAGTACCACACAGGGTTTATGCACTGGCATGCACACGTTTTGATGCAAAGATTTTCGAAGGAGAATCCGCTACAACAAGGCATCATAGCAATGGACCAGATTTGTGTCCATGTGTCAGGCTCCACGTACAAACCTTTGCCTTCCCCTTCGTTTCAGAAGGACCGACCGGCCACCAGGCGGAACTCCGAGGACTCATGGCTTGAAGAAGTCCTGCCAGAGGAGTCTCTAATCGCCGGCACCGGCCAGGATACATAAGACGAGCGCAGCGCACTTACACCATCGTATGAATACTCACGTTGTATTTCTTTGAAAAATACATACGATCAAAGAAAGACTTGTATCCATTCGAGTCAATATATAAGTACAAACAATCAAAGAAACACTACGTCCGTTGGAGATACAACCACAGCACGCCTTATTTCGTATGTACTGCTGTACCTGTTCAGGGCCAATAACGTGCGGGTTTTCGACCTGCACCTCGAAGGGCAGTCGCAACTCGTTCCCGAAGGAAGAAAGGGGGCTTAGAGTCCCGCTCGTCACGATGATGCTCCGCACCTTCCCGTCGGCAAAGAAAAGGGGGGAGCAGAGGTCTCGCAGGGGTAAGAAAAGAAATAGAAAAAAGAAGAAGAACGAAAGAAGTAGAAAAGAAGAAGAGGGATGATGAAACGGGTAAGAAAGGGAAAGAAAAAGAAACAGAACGAAAGAAGGAGAGAGATCAAAAGGGGTAAGGAAAGGGGGGGGGGGGAAGCATAGGGAACCCCGGGATAAACCAGACCTGCAGCATCGTCTCGTTGCAGGACAGAAGATAAAACATGAAGGGCAAAACACACCCGACACACCGGCGTACCTACACACAGGATGTGCGTACGCACACGCACGCAGTCCCTTTACACCCTCTTTTACAATCTCGCCCGCGGCACCGGTGTCGGGGGGGCGCGGGCCACTAGAAAGCGTGATCAGCCATACACCTACTGCCAGGTATTAAAAGACCTGAATGGAGTCTATTCATCGGCCAGCCGGTTGAGCGCTAACAGTCACACTTGAAAGCATACTATAATATAGGTATACTCATAAATGCCTAGGGTTGTGTGTTGTGTAGCACACACACATGGACACGCACATTTTCTGTTTCCAGCGGCACTGAGACTGACGTCATTTCATTGGTCAGCGCGGTCGACGCTAACAATAAAGAGGGGACAAGCCCACTTGAATCATTCTTGTCTCCCTCCCCCAACACTCACTCACCCCTAGCGCCTTTAGGTCCTGCATCGCGACCCCAGGGCAGAAGCACCAGAAGCAAAACACCCTCCCGGCGCCGCCGCCGCCGCCACCCCCCCCCCCGCCCCCAACACCGACCCCCCCCTTACCCCCCTTGCCGCCGCCGCGACCATCGAGGGGAGACCCCCCCCCCGCGGAGGCCATGTGCCAGCGGGACATCCGGGCGAAAACCCGGCCCCCCTCCCCAGAGGCGTTTCCCCCCCCAAACCCCCCCTTGTAAAAAAAAAAATGACGGGGGGGACGCCGGCCGGACCCAGGGGGGGATTTTAAAAAACCAAAAAAAAGAAAAAAAATCGGGACGGGGGGGGGGGGGGGGGGGGGCCCCAGGCCCAAAAACCCGGATTGTATCCTTTTAAAAACCGAA